TGAATTCGCCTTCGCCAGCCTATCGCCGACATGCGTGTCGTGCATGCGCAAGCATACCGTCGCGAAGGTTTGCGTCCGGGAGTTGGTCTATCGCGCGATGTGATTGGAAGAGATTGTGGGCAATTGTGGGCAATCGTCGTGACGGATGAGCCAATCAGGAAGAAGGCTATGTCCTCACAGCGGGCCGATTGGAGGGAAAGTCTTGTCTCCAGGTGACGATTGATCAATAGCTCAACGTGAAGCCGTGCTGCATATTCCCAGTCTCTTTCATGCATTGCCGTGTTCTCGCGGTCCAGGCTGTCCGACGAGCCGAGAAGTCGACTTGCCTCGTCTCTTTGATGAGCTTTTCCGGCTTCCCCTGCTTCAGCGTTTAGGCTCCGGCGGAAAGACGCGCCGGCATGTCGTCAAAGTGAAGCTCATCACGCCTGCCCACTTCTCCCCTCACTTCTCCCCCCCTTGTACTTTGACTTGTCCCTTCACTTGTCCCCTCACTGTTACCCCCACTTCTCCCCTCACTTGTCCCCTCGCTTGTCGGCCCATTCTTCTGCTCGTCTGCCAGCCCTGATCTGCACATTCTCGGTCTGGTGGAGGCCTCGGTTTATTCCCAATTGGCCCCAATCGGACACTTTGTTGCCAGCCTCGAAGGCGGTATGCTCTCGAGGCCTCGGATCCGGCTGACAGCTCGGCAACTGGGCGTCTGATCATTGATACTCTTTTGTTACATTTTGTATATTTACTTTTAAGATGTATTGTTGACTCATCACTTTATGATATCTTCGTGTGAGTTGATATTGCATCATTTAAAAAGCATAATCCCAAAGCTTTACCTAGCTCTAACGTCCATGCCAGTTTCGTATATATATATATGTGTGTGTGTGTGTCAGTTTTGACCGATTTCCTGTCGGTCAAGAGGCGAATCGTCCAAGAATAATGGAGAGGAATATTAGGGGTCTGATTTGTTTGTACCGCATAAATCCTCACAAAATAATACCATAAAGGAATTATTTACGTAGAAATCATTGGATTATCCAACAAGAATTCTAGTATAAGACAGCTATTGGTAGACGCCAGAACATATTTTCTATAAAAATAAGTAGTGTCAAGTTTTAGGGCTGGTAATGAGACATTCATGCAATAATCACGGATTCCTTTTAATTTTTTCCGCATAAGGTCGCCATTTGACCGATTCCGAAAGCCGTCTAATCTTATTTGAAGTAGGAAGACAAAGATGGTGTGTCTTTTTGTGTGGTCACAGTCTCCTTTCGTTGTATACAAGTTGTTTGGCCTTGTTTTCGCAACTTGGTCATATTGGTAGGAATATTTAGAGGAACGCACCTTGTTCGGAGTCCATTGTATGCATCATCATTTCCAGAGTAGGACCGTGTACGTAGTACTTTCACAGAAGTTTCGCCGGGATCGTAGTCGGCATCGTCAGTGAGCATCATCATTATTAGCACCGTACAACAACTCGTCAAAAGAGACAAGTGAAGCCCTCCACACAAAAGGCCACACCATCTTGGTCTTTAAATCTTCTATCACTTTTTGTTTTAAATCGGTACTTTATTAAGTTTAAGTTATTCACATTTCCTATATCCTCATATCACATTTTGGCTGTCACATATACGATCAAGTTGCGAAAACAAGGTCAAACAACCTACATATACAAAAGGCCACACCATCTTGGTCTTCATACTTTCGATTAAACTATGAAAATAAGATTGTCAAACAATGCACTGATTACAGTTGTGACCTTAAGAGACCCTACCGCTCGTAAAAGGTTAATGAATATCTCCACCAGGCTTCTATTCAGAAATTGAGTGAGGCATATGATACTGAACCGTATAGGTTGTTTAATTTTATAGATATTAAGTTAAAGCTTCGGCGTGATTTGTCAGGAAGATTTTTAAAAACTCCAGAGCATGACAGACAAGAAATCACGTAGGATTTCTGACTTAATAACAAAACGGCATGACGATAAGTTGTGTAACTTTGGGATTATTAGACAACCTAAGTTAAAGTCAGTAAGCCCAGTTGATGTTGTTTCCAAAGTGACAACATTTACTGATCAGCACGCGGATAGGAAAAAAGCATTAAACTTATCGTCAATTCCTCTCAAACCCGAAACAACTGCGTTCCTGGAAAAAGGACTCACTTTTTCAATTCAACATCGCAGGAGCCTTCTAGGAGACATCCTGGTCGAGGCTATCAATACCTCCGACAATTTCCCTGAGGAGATAAAACGGGAAATGGAGCTACAACTAATTCCAAATATCTTGACCCATCAGGAGCCTACACACAGGAACAGATTTGCCTGGATACGCAACACCCTGGAAACGAATGAACAATTAGTCCTTCAAGCGGAAAAAGGAGGAGCTACTGTGACAATGGACAAAAAACAATATTCCGAGAAGATGGAAGATATTCTACAAGACAGGACCACACATCGTATGCTAAACAAGGAGCCAACTATGAAGATCAATGAATTCTTAAGTGCCATGTCGAAAGATATGCATGGGAATAGGGAAATTGACGCATGGACAATAAGTTCAATCATAAGACAGGATGTATGACCACCAAATGCATACGGATTACCAAGAATACACAAAGAAGGTTAGCCACTAAGACTGATAGTCAACAGCAGGTATGGAGCAACACACAAATGAGCAAAGTTTATATGCTTAAAACTCAAGAAATTAAATGAGAGGCTATCAAACACGATGAAACATTCATATGACGAGTGGAATGTAAACAAGTGAGAAGTTTTGATTGGACGGCAGTGGGATTAGAGGGTAAAGAGTAGATAGATAGGCTAATACCGTTTTCGGCAGAGCGGCTGTCGAGGGATTGACTTCACTTGTCTCTTTGAAGAGTTCGTAGCTTGGCAAAACTCACTGATGATGTCGACTGCGATGCCGGCGAAACGTTTGAGAATATACCAAGTCGACTATCTGATGTTGGGAATCATGACAACTACTATGGCAGACGTCTTCGGACTAGGTGCGTTCTACTAAGTCGCCCTGACAACAAGACCAAATTGCGACAACGAGATCAACCCACTTCTATGAATTGAAAGGAGACTGCGACCATACCAGAGGCCACAACATCTTGGTCTTCATAAATTCATGGTAAGGATAGTTTAAATAATGTCCTGTTTTTAATTATCCAGATTGATTGCAATGTTAGTTTGACAATGCAGATAGAGATTAACAATAATTTACACTTTTTAGATGTCTTAGTGATCAGAGCAGGTGATAATTTAAGCAGGGATGTGGAATCGACCTTCGAATCTCTTCACCAAACACTTTCACTTGAAATGGAAGTAAGTTCACAATTATGAAACACAAAGTTTATCGAAACCCAACTTTTCTTCTCTATTTCTTTCTAATGCAACCGCTAGTAGCTCCAAACATTTGCACACTTGCCATTTTACCGAGTTACATTATGACTAATACATGAACTTTGTTTCCTCCGATAGTCAAAGCCTCATGAAGAAATCTGATTCTCAGTCTGATGAATCTGGTTGCTCAGGCGTTCTGTCCGTTCTAGTAGTCATAGTGATTATGTGCTAGTAGCTTGTTCAGCTTGAGTTTGGGCTAGATTTCCTATCTTATAAAAGTGTATGACGTGGAAATTTATATATTCATACGAAGTGAATTCCGAAACCAACAGTAGAGACTCAATAAGAATTGTGATGAAGGACTGAAATCTGTATGTTTCGACAATTGTATGGTTAGCCTCAACTTTTTTTGTGAGTGGATAGGTTTTCGAGACTACCAGTAACTCAGATAAACGAGCGATTTTCATAGAATATATGAATACCAAGATGTTGTGGCCTCTTTTATGGTCGCAGTCTCCTTTCGATTTATAGAAGTTCGTTGACTTCGTTGTCGCAACTTGTTCTTGTTGTCAGGGCGACTATGTAGAACGCACTTAGTCGTCTGTCATAGTAGTTGTCATGATTTCCAGCATCCGACAGTGGACTTAATATATTCTCAAACGTTTCGCAGGCATCGTAGTCGGCATCATCAGTCAGCTTTGCCATTCTCCGCAATTAGAATGTATCAAGTCCACTGTCTGATGCTGGGAATCATGACAACTAATATGGCGTTCTACATAGTCGCCCTGACAACAAGACCAAGTTGAGACAACGAGGTCAATCCACTTATATGAGTTATTTTCAGCCTATTTCGTTTAAGGTGATAAGGATGAGAACACCTTCTATAGTATGGAGATATGATTGTTGATTTGTGTAAATAGGTCCTCAGCGCATCGCTTTGTGAACCCGATGGATTCTGCTGAGCTTATGCTCCTCGTAGGCTGGACATCGTCACAGCAGAACTCCAAAACAAGGAAGGTAGCCGGCTAAAACTCAGGATCTATCGCACACATATACACTCACATCTCCAAGCTAATTCCCCGCCAGTTCATGGTAAGACCAACTTACAAATCTCCTCCACTGTCACTTTAAGCGAAATGAAAGGTACTCAAACGTCAAGTTATTAAGAGACTCTTCGAAACTCAGTTTTTATACAAATCCATAAAATGTTTTGATTGGTTTATCTTCACATATGTATATTGGTATATATGCTTATGTACATACTAGGGTCTAGGAGCTCCTACATGTATGAAACTACCAGTTCTAGAAGTTATTTGGCTTTGATTTTGCAACTTGGTCATCTTGGCAGGAAGGCCTAGAGGAACGCAACTTGTCCGGAGTCCATTGTATGCATAATCATTTCCAGAGTCGGACCGTGGATTTGGTACATTCCCAGACGTTTCGCCGGCACCATCAATGAGTCTTAGCTGTCTCAGCAACCAATTTACAACTCGTTAAAGCGACAAGTTACCCTGTCGTGCCCTCGTGCTATAACATCTTACAGCATGCTTTTCTCGCACAAGAGATGTGCCCTTTTGGCGAATTTAATGTTGCATCATCACACCTGCTGTTTGCTGGTCAAGCGATTGACTTCACTTGTCTCTTTGAGGAGTTGTAGTGTAGTGTAGTGATAC